CCCCACCCCCACACACACCCCTTGCCTCCAGGCCCACAGTGGCTGTGGGCTCCACTGAGTGCTACAGCCCCACTGTTATTTACCATGGGTGCGCTAGCCCCTTGTTCAAACAGCGCCCCCAGGCAGGGGTTTGAAAAGCCACTGCAGCTTTCAGAAGGGCCGTGCATGTGTCATTCACTGGCTCCCCTTGCTGAGTTTAGTTTCCTTCCATGCCAGGCCTGTTCCAAAGGGCTGTGTCCAGCTGGTGCATTTGTGTGTGGCTCGCGCCTGCCAGGCAGCATGGGGGTCCTGCCACGTGACGTGAGCCGGCCACTCTAGCGCTGGGCTTGTAGTACCCAGGCAACACAAGGCCGTTGGCAAGGGCAACCCACAGGTCCTGCCTGCAGGGTTGGCACACTTGGCCCTGCTGAGTTTAGAGGTGGGGTTTGACCTGGGGCCCTGCAGCACCAAAATCATGAGTCACTAATGCTTGAGATAAAAGACTAGGCCTTCAAGGAGTAGCAACAGCCTCAGAGACCTCTTAGCTGCAGCAGCTACTGAAGGTAGCCATGCTACCTTGCTTTACCTTTTAACGTCCCCTCTCCCCCTGTCATCCGCCCCATAGTCATCCCGCCACAGGACAGCAGTCAGCAGCACGAGGATGGGGGAGGAATGGGGACCTAGAACCACCGTTAGTGGGGTTGATTTGACAGTCACATGCCGCCTGCAGGGCTCAGTGGTTGCTGCCTGGTGGCACAGGCATAGCCGGGGAGGACGCAGTGCACGCTCTTTGCACAGTGCCATGCGCCCAGCCTGCCATAGGCATGGCCCTGGGCTGCATGCCACTCAATGGAGGGAGGGGACTGTCTCTGCCGGTGACAGTCAGGGCTCACCAGCAAGGGCCATGTGCCCACTGAAAGCTGAGGCTGGACACTTTGCCGACCTGCCTCCCCTTGCTGAGCTAGGGCGGCCATATCGTTCATGCTGCCTGGCTCTAAAGTGATTTTCATCTGCAGTGGATGAGGCTGGGTTTAGCCGCACAGGCCACCACAAGCTCCCCCCGGCCTTTTTTGTAAGCCTGGGGGCTGTCACGTGGCAAGGCCCATTTAGCTCTTGGCCTTTGCTGAGGCTGTGACCAAGGAGGCTAGTCACTGCCAGGCGTGAGAGCGAGCGCACCGGGGCCACCTGGTTATGCCAGCTGCCCCTGGAATGAAGCCAGTCACACGTTTCACATGCCCCCAGGCAGCTGGCAAAGCTGCCCATCAGGGGCTGGAGACTGGCCTGGTGCCCCAGAGGGGAAAGGCTCCTTACCCCTCCCCCATTCATTCGATTCCAGCCCCAGGTCCTTTGAGCCACTGGCGCCCTTAGCAATAAAAACCACCCCATCCCCCGGAGCCTGAGGGGTGCAATTGGCTGTGATGGGGAGGGGAGAGTGACATGAGAGGGGGCTGGGTAGGCCAGCACTGCCCACAGGTGGATGCGCCAGAACCAGGGCTGCATGAGGGGCAGGGCTGCACGCCAGGCCAAGGAGAACTCAACACTTGCATCCTGCCAGGCCTGGATCATTTTTGTTTGTACATCCCACTTTCTCCCCTGCCACCTACAGAAATAAAAGTGCCCGTGTTGCCAGATTGCTCCTGTGTCCTGTGCCTGTTGTAGACCTGGGCTCCCAGCACTACTGAGCGGCGGCGCATTCACAGCATTTCTCAGGGAACATCTTTCAGCTGGACCCATCCTGCCACCCCTCCTCTGGCCCAGCCCCACCCCCACCCCCCGATTCCAATCACCAGGCATGGCAGGTTTTAGGCCCAAGGGCCCAGACCTTGGGCATAGCACTAGGCCTAGGAGCAGCCTGAGGGTAGGTCTAGACTGCAGAGTTTTTCTGGGATACCGGAAGTAACTCTGCCGTGTCCAAGGAATGCGTTTGCTCTTCCAAATTTTTTTCTGGAAGAGCAGACGCTTTTTTTCAGCATCCCTGTAAACTGCGGTTTAGGAGGAAGAAGGGATGTTCCGAAAAAGGTTTTCTCCCCACATTTTGCCCAGTGTAGATGGACCAAATGTCCCAAAAGCCTCTTCCAAAAAAAGCAGAAAAAGCTATGCAAATTGCGGTTTGCAATTTGTGTATCTTTTTCTGGAAGCACTGTGTGGTTTAGACACAGCCTGAGACTGGGGCAGGGTGGACCTGGGGCAGTAGCTGAGAGGCTTCCCCTGTACTGACTGCTATGTGGAAAGTGGGACCATGCCAGTGAGCGAGGGTAGAGCCGTTCCAGTTAAGGGCCCGTGCTGTCCCTGTCCCCCATGCTGTTCAGGGCGAGTGGCACATGCCAGGAAGCTTGCAGCATGGGCCCAGGAAGAGATTTGCAGGCTGGTCACCCCTGTGAGCGGCCTGGGGCAGAGCAGCAGTGGGTGTTAGAAGAAAAGGCTCATTTGGAGGAGGCCTGTCCCCTCTCAGCACTGGGAAAGGTTGCAGCAGGCAGGCCTAAGCCCCCCATTTAGTGCTGGCTTTTCCAGCAACCTTGCAGCAAAGGGGCACCAGGCCCTCATCCCAAAGAGCCAGACCCATAGAGAGCTACAGCTGGGCCTGGCAATCAGCACGCAGCTTTTCCCAGCACCAGCTGCTTTACATGCCCCATAGAGCTCCACTTCCCCCATGTGGCATCCACTTGGCAGAGAGCTCCTGCCCACCAGGCTTAATCACGTCCCCCAGGCAGGAGCCGGGCCTGTTCTTTCTCTGCATGCAGTAACTGGAGCCACACCCACAGGAACAGCATTATTAATTTTAAACAGTCCTGCCAGCACCAGCAGCCCTTGGACAGATGCTGCTAAAGTCCCCTTCCTCCCCCGCTCCTCCCCAGAGCCAGCCCCACCCTGCAGAGCCCTGGCTGGGGCCAGCACTTGGTGGAGCTGCAGCCTCACTGAACACTAAGGGCAAGGGTGGGGATGCTGCTCATAGGAATGGACAGAGCAGGGCCCAAGCCATACACAGGACTAGGCCCCCAGAGCCCTTGAACACAGCTGGCCAGAACCTTGTCCCCTGGACACTGTCAGTGTGCCCAAGGGGGGTCCAGCAGATGGTCTGGGTCCAAGCTCAGGTTCCACCTATGGGGAGCGAGCCGCAGCGAGGCAGCGCTACAGCAGGGCGGGGCCAGGCAGCTCTGTTAAACCCCAGGCTCTGCTCGCAGGAGCACGGCTGCCAACAGCAGTGAGCCATGGCCCGAGAGCAGTGACCGGTTTGCTGGACTCGGGAGCCATCGTTAGCTGCGGGGCGAGGGGGATGCAGCCTCTCCTGGTGCCGCATGTGAAGCTACACAGGCTCCAGCAACACCAGGGGTAGGTGTGAATGTTCATCTCAGGCGCCATTCAGCCCCAGGCCACCACCAGCTTGAGACCCGAAGCAGAGTCGTCCCACTGGCTCATGCCACACCCCACTGCCATCCCACCACCCGCTCACGCCCAGCCTCGCCAGCACCTTGTATCACAGTCCTGTCTGGGTCCCTTTAGACCATAGGCATCTAAGTACCAACTCCTGCCTCTGCCCAGGCCCAGTAGCACCTCCACCCCACCAGCTCAAGGCCAGCCTGGCATTCCCTTTCCCTGCCACAGCATGGTCACATTGCACCGGTACCTCCCTCTTCGCCCTCCAACGGTCCTTACTGGACTCGCCAATCGACTGGGTCCTCTCCGTCCCCTGGGCAGCTGCAGCCGCAAAGGCCCCTTGTCGTCACAACAGTGAAAAACAGGTACAAAGCACCTGAGCTCTGGGACCCCTTGGAGCACTTCAACTGCCCCATATCCTGCCTTGCTGGGCTCTGCTCAGTACAGCCAGCCCCACGCCACAAAGGATGAAACTGCAGCAGTCAAGCAGCA